AGCAGTGAAGTGAGAGCTAAGTGCAACGGTGGGTGAAAAACTAATAATTATAACGCTAAAACTGTGTAGTGAGACAAACAATCATGCTGTGCACCTACGAAAACAATTTTAACGCAACTACATGTTTCTTCTGCTTACAAAGATCAGGCTTATGCAAACGAATACAAAAAGCCTCAAGTACTTTCAGCTGACTAGCATACCGTGCACGACAAAGAACAGAAAAACTAAAATCATCATACACCTGCAGACACTTAGGGTGAGACAACAAGTGAAGAAAAACTGCAGACTTCTTACGATCACAATCACCATCTGATTCCTCGTCTCCAACAACCGCAATCTCGTCCTCCGTTTCATCTCCCAACTCGTCCTCAGTGTCGTCCTCCGTGTCAATCTCCTCATCAACACTGATCGGTCCCAGGCTCGTTTGACGTTGTTTAACCTCTGTTCGTTGACTCCTCCTTTGATCTTGATGGCAACTTGTTACCATTGTTGTTGTTGTTGTTGTTGTTGTTGTTGTTGTTGTTGTTGTTGTTGTTGTTGTTGTTGTTGTTGTTGTTGTTGTTGTTGTTGTTGTTGTTGTTGTTGTTGTTAAATCTTGTGTTCCCAGTGTCCTCGCCGGTGCTTGATCTCCAGTACTGTAATAATTCATTGAATAATTAGCCGTTGATCGTCTAGGTCTTTGAATGTTGATTGTGTTACTTTCTTTGTTGAATTCCGTTCCCTTCAGCCTTCTTTCTCGTTGTTCACAATCAGTGCTTGCCTCATCCATATATGCACGTGCCACCGACACCACAGACTACGCCCCAGCACCGCCGATGATAGATGTAGGTGGCGGTTCTGGGGGAGGCAACGGCAAAGACGGCGATGAGGGCATTACCTCATCACAGCGTCCACTTTGGTCTGTAGCTGAATGTTGTTGTGGTGTGTTATCTTGTGTTGTTATGGTGCATTGTGTTGTGGTGACAATATGCCCATTACCCGACTCCAAGGCTCTCGATACGGGTAATGGAGGCACTATTGCCGATGACGGAAATTGTGCTAACGATGGCTGTGGCCGAGGGTTCTTCAGTGGCCTGCCGCGTTTTGGTCGCAGTGCCCGTGCCGAGCCAGTCAGCATATGCAGTGGGACGTGCTGCTTGATACGTGCGTTCAGATGTTGAAGAGTCCTACCAACGTACCGACTACCGCATTGTCGGCACTCAAATTGGTATACCAATTTAGATGCAAGTTGGGTTGGTAGGACATCCTTCCTCACCGTGAACGCACGTACAGTTGTGAAAACGGGTTCAAAATGTACCGCGTAGTAAGTTTGCTGTACAATTTTCCGTACCAAGCGACTCATGGATAATGAGAGGTTACCTTTCCAGGGGAGAGAAAGATACGTGGGACATTTGTCCGGGCCAAAACGTTTTTCCTTTTTATCCAGCCTTTCGCTCATGAGTTCCTTCAATAGATCATCAGGGTACCCGTTCTTTAGAAAAACGGACTTAAGGAACTTCCAGTTCTTCAGCTAGTTTGGAAGAGGAGCAAATACGCTCTGCTCGATCCACCAAGTTACGCACTAAATTCACCTTGTATTGGTACGAACAATACGAGTCAAACATTATGTACTGGCCGGTGAATGTAGGCTTTCTGTACACAGATGTTACGGTACCCTGACTAGACTTTTCCACAAGGACGTCTAGAAAGGGAAGTTTGTTGGCTTGTTCGTGTTCACACGTAAAACGTATGGAAGGATGTAGGTCATTTAGAATACCAAGAAAGATTTGGCTATCTTCAAGAGAATCAAACCAGGTGAAGGAATCATCAACAAAACGAACGTACAATGCTGGCCACAACTGTTCTGCAATCAGTGACTCGCAGTAACCAACAAACACATTCGCTAAAACTGGACCCAATGGAGAGCCCATGGCTACCCCATCAACCTGCCTGTACATAATGTCACCGAAGGAAAACTCCACACCAGTCGTCACGAGCAACATCAGTTCCCGGAACGCCGTCTCCGATATCCATGGCGTGTCAACTTCATCATTTCGGTACAACACATCTAGGCAAATATTGATAGTCTCTTCTAACGGGACGTTCGTGAACAGACTAACAACATCAAACGAGCACATATGCGCGGAGGCCGGAACCGGGTGGGAGCGAAGGACGTCAATGAAATCGAAGGTGTCTTTAACTGTATGTTTGCAATAGAACGTTTGCAAGGCTGAAGGGAGCGGAATTCAACAAAGAAAGTAACACAATCAACATTCAAAGACCTAGACGATCAACGGATAATTATTCAATGAATTATTACAGTACTGGAGATCAAGCACCGGCGAGGACACTGGGAACACAAGATTTAACAACAACAACAACAACAACAACAACAACAACAACAACAACAATGGTAACAAGTTGCCATCAGGATCAAAGGAGGAGTCAACGAACAGAGGTTAAACAACGTCAAACGAGCCTGGGACCGATCAGTGTTGATGAGGAGAATGACACGGAGGACGACACTGAGGACGAGTTGGGAGATGAAACGGAGGACGAGATTGCGGTTGTTGGAGACGAGGAATCAGATGGTGATTGTGATCGTAAGAAGTCTGCAGTTTTTCTTCACTTGTTGTCTCACCCTAAGTGTCTGCAGGTGTATGATGATTTTAGTTTTTCTGTTCTTTGTCGTGCATGGTATGCTAGTCAGTTGAAAGTACTTGAGGCTGTTTGTATTCGTTTGCATAAGCCTGATCTTTGTAAGCAGAAGAAACATGTAGTTGCGTTAAAATTGTTTTCGTAGGTGCACAGCATGATTGTTTGTCTCACTACACAGTTTTAGCGTTATAATTATTAGTTTTTCACCCACCGTTGCACTTAGCTCTCACTTCACTGCTATTGTCTCACCTTCCCTCTTTCTATTTTGGCACTGTATTTTGTTCTCGTAACACATCATTGAATGTATATTTAATCATTGTTCAGCATGGTTACTCTTCAGTCACGACTTTCCACTGATGAATGTGACAAGAAAATTAATTCTGGTAAACTTACATGACTTCGTTGTAGTGTGGCGATGACTGCAGAATTTGTTCTTTTTATTGCTATTATAAAATTGTTGTCTCCACGTCGATTAATTGAGACACAATCAAGAGTTTGCGTTGCCGTGTGGCGGGGACCAGTGGGAGAACAACACTATTTCCATCTCACTAAGTCCCTATCTAAATAGCAAAGGGACGTCCGACTACAGCTGGCAATCACAGGTGATACGAAAAAAAAGAGAGCATGAAGAACGAGCACATTCAGCCTGCGATCCTACACAGAGAGGTTGCAGCTAGCTGAGCCGTACCTAGCGAGAGTTTGAAAGACAGGTAGATGATGTCCAGATGTCCAGAGTAGTAAATGGGCACCGTCAAGAGGGGAAACCCTAGTCCTTGTGTGGTATATTTTTGTGTCACGTGTTTGTTTTGGCTTGGTCACACGCGTCATTGGTTGGTGGTGTTGTGCGCATGCACGAGACTATTTGAGCCGGTCTTTGGTCTGTCGTTTTGTCAAGATGTAGTCGTTTTCCGTGGTCCTGCTTGTCGCAATAAAACGAGTGTAAAAAGGCAGTCCAGTGGTGGCGGTTGAGCTGAATGAGAAGTAATGTTACAATTACGTGTATGGGATACCTAGATTGCAGCGCACAGAAAATGGAGCAACAAAGTCTTCCTACATGTTCAGAACTGCATTACAGTGGCTAATGTAAAATCATGTTTCCCTCTATAACCCTATTTTATTTTCACTTATTTATTTCTGCACCTCGTGGCATGTCAAGACAGCCAATTGAATTGAGGAGAGGGTGAGACCAACCACGGAAGAAGAGAAAAAAGAAAATGAAGAGCACTTTCACAAAGTGGGAAGGGATTAGCAACTTACAAATCAATGGGATGCTCAGCGAGCTATGCAGCAAAAGTGGTGACTGTGATTTTGTTTACTGGGAGATACTGAAGTGCTGTCTGACGAGGGTATGGAATTTGGGCATATCTGGAGCTTGCCTAACACTGGGAGGCAGTTGGAGCTACGTGGAGTAGGAGGAAAAGAAAGGGGAATTTACGAATAGGGTACACCTAGCTAGGGGGAGACGAACGCAGCTTCGGGTGGTGCCACCTGACTTAAACCAATTAAGGGACTGTAAATGAGCAGGGTGCTGGTCAAGAAAAATTGAATGTGCCAGGGTGTTGTAGTTGTTGTAGAAGTTTATTTAACGTCGCACCACAAACAGGCGATTTCGCCTCCTTGGAAACATGTGGACGACAGAAGGAATGAGAGTGGGGGGGGGGGGGCAGAAGTACGGAGAGAGGAAGGGTAGAAATAAATAAGGAAATCAACCTCAGGGCTACACTAGAGCAAAAACGGAATGGGAAAATACTATATACAAATGCATTGACATTTCCAGAACCTTCAAACCTTATGGCACGCACTTCCTTTATTTCTGCTCCATTTTTCATCAATTAAACAAGGGGGGGGATTGTCAACATAACGATACATTCATTTTAAAACGAACCATAAAGAAGACCGAGGATTTTTGTACCTTTTCTATTGCCATGATCCGCCAAAGACTATGAATCCCTGGGGAAGTCCCAGTTTAGGTATACTGTCATATCCAGTTTTCACGCAATTTGTAATAATTCAATCCAGTATATATATATATTATTGTTTATGCTTCGGCGGCCAATTATTTGTCTGCATTGTCAAACAATGCATCGTTAGAAATTGCGTTTTCTTAGCTTTGCAACAAACCTCATGCTTGACAATGGAAAGAAAAATGACGAAAACTATATGTTTCAGTGGTATAATGTGAACTCTGCAACCTAACCAAGTTGCATATGAATCATGTTGTGGTTAGGAGTCTAGGTTATTCCTGAAAACAGCGTCATGTTTCGGCCTTTTAGATTAGAACCACTATACCCTAGACTCGGTGTATTGTGCACTACCCGCAACTAAGCAAGAACAACATTGTCTTTGTGCTTTGTCGTTTGTAGATATTTGAACAATAATCAGATCCAGACTTTAAGTGACGGTGTGTTCACTGGTCTAACAAACCTCCAGTACCTGTAAGTATTCTCAACTGCACCACTGAACGCAGGGAACAGCAATTATAACTGTGTGTATATAGAGTACTGCTGGATACGTGGTGAATAAACCTCGATTATCTGGGAGTATTATTATCTGCTGTAGTGATTGAACTATCACCACGGGCAAACAGAATACAATTGACAGTGGCATGGCGAATGATTAGAACACAACACCAAAAAATGAAAACAATTGTATGTGTGAAAAAACGCAAAAACGAGAAACAAAAAAACAAAAAACACCAAAAACACCAAAAACAAAAACAAACAAAAACAAAAACCAGAAAAATGCAAGGGCACTGTCCTGCCCACCATCGTCTCCAAAACCTCACAGCCGGCCCTCCGAGATTGCCAACTCTCGCAATGCATTCACGGGACGGTGATATGACGATCGAGCACCTCGGATGCACATGATCGCCGACCGCAACAATGCAAACGCCAGTCGACACCGGACATATGTCATTGTCTGGGCATACAACTTCGTGTTGTAGACGCTGTGTGTGAAATGCTTTGTTATGAAGCCTCTGATTCTCGTAAGTGTCAGGAACGAACGAGCACATGGCACGAGGACAACTGCTTTTTCTTTAATGCCGGCTTTGAGTATCAAAGCCAAGTTAGCCCACGCGGGCACATGCGCAGAGATGGTCTCATGATGCACATCATTAATTATTATTCTGTGCCGAGTATGATCTGTAATTTGCATTTTTGCGCTGCTGCTACTGTTGCCTTTATGCGCGTTGCAGTAGCTAGTTGAATACAGGTTTGTTTGTCTTTCCTTTGGACAAGAAGTGCTTTCCGTGTCAGGCTGGTAATTTCTCTCCCTCCCTCCCTTTTGCAATCGCTTTGAGGGCCACGTATACATGGCTGCTGTGTTGCTGCTGCAATGTTGTGGCAGCGCCATCTTGATGTGATGGATTGGTGTTGTAACAGTGTACCCATTTGCTGTTGCTGGGTACCGTAGTTTGTCAGTTGTGCCTGTTTGAAGTTGCCAGGCCAGCTTGTATTGGTGCGTTCCCGTTTGCTGTTGCCGGGACACCATGTTTGTAACGGCGTACCCGTTTGCTGTTGCCGGGGCCGTGTTTGTACTGGTGCGTTCCCGTTTGCTGTTGCCGGGACACCATGTTTGTAACGGCGTACCCGTTTGCTTTTGCCGGGGCCGTGTTTGTACTGGTGCGTTCCCGTTTGCTGTTGCCGGGGCACCATGTTTATAACGGCGTACCCGTTTGCTGTTGCCGGGGCCGTGTTTGTATTGGTGCGTTCCCGTTGAGTTTGCCGGGGCCTTGTTTGTAACGATGTACCCGTTTGCTGTTGCCGGGTGACATGTTTGCCAATTGTGCTTGTTACAAATTGCCGTGCTGTGCTCGTTATGAGGCGATAAGAATTATGAGCCATGCACTGGCTTGTGGCCAATGGCTCTTGCTAACACGGCAATTTACTATCATTGGTGATATTTCAAAGAGTGACAAATGTGAAAAAAAGATAATGGCAAACCCCCAATTAGGTTCTATGATTGGTGTGCTGGTGCGAGCAAGTTTTGCAAGCATATTGCAATGTGGAATACATGCGTGTGTATACATAATAATTATTATTACGCTTGGCCACAAGGCCTAGCGGGTGTGTGCACGCACACTTGGGTGTGCGGTGGCAGGTGCATGCATGTGGGTTAACGGTATATTTCACTTGATCGAACATAACAACTCAGTCTAAGACGACCAGATATGTAAAGCAAATGACAGCGTACACAGTATATCGCACACAGCGCATATAGCGTATACCATGCATGATGCTTCAGCGGTAGGGTGGAGTCGAAATACGTAATTCCTTGGAGAAATGTTGGAGCTAGGTGTCAGGTCTCCGAATGTCCCAGTACTCCTTGTCAGTTTTGTACCATTTTGTCGCAATCGTTGACCGTATAAGATCTGGTTACGTTGATGGACAGTTAGTCATAACTGGTAACATTTTTTCCTTATCCTTTTTCACCATAACTTAATTGGCTCACGATCCGAGTTGAATTTGCACACCTGATGAGCCGCCATGACCTATACGGCCAAACGTACGTCGTGTGGAACTACTTGTTATTGTACATAACTAGTCCATCATACATAATAGTGAAGCTCAGTAGGATGTTGACATTTCGGTTTGTTACAATTTGTCTTCGGTTAGCTTCCCCTTTCTACGTTTGTTACATAAACTTGAGCCTCCCAAGTTGGGTGGTCTGTTGCTTTGCGTCGTCGAGTTGTAATAAGGCCTGTATGTCCAACAGTCTTATTAGTTTTGTCATCATCCAGTAACGTTCGGCATTCTTTGTTGCCGTGATGCCTAGCTCGTGCTCTTTGCGTTTTCCTTCTCCACTTGGACTTTTCCGAACCTGAGCCTTCCAAGTTGGAAGGTTGTTGGTTTGCGTCTTGGAGAAGTGTTGGAGCTAGGTGTGAGGTCTCCGAACGTATCAGTACTCCTTGTCAGTTTTGTTCCATTTTGTACCACTCGCTGACCGTATAAGATCTGGTTACGTTGATGGACACTTAGTCATAACTCGTAACATTTTTTCCTTATCCTTTTTTCACCCTACTTTAATTGCCTCACGATCCGAGTTGCATTTTTCCTTATTCTTTTCTTTTCTTGCAATGGTTGGCTATCGCCCCTCTCTCGCACTTTGCGTGCAAATATAAGTCATGGACCACGGGTTATGTGAACATAATATAACGTTCCTCTTGTATTACGGTTGATAATATGGTGGTAAAGACACACCTGGCCATATGGCGGTAAACACACGCCTGCCCACACACGCTCTCTAGGCTGCAAAATTCAGGCACAGAGCTCTCCTTCTCACCACCACCACCATCAGTTCGCGCCTGGTCGATGCATGGCTGGCGGTATCGGGCATAGCAGGCTGGTACATCAAGTAGCGCATGGCACATAGATGATGACACAGCAACGACATAACTCGATTGCGACGTACGTTTCGTCCCCGCTGGACTCATCAGGCAATCTACTTCTTCGATGTCTTCATACGGAGCTTGACTCTGGAGAATGAAGTTGAAGACACCACTGCAGCTGTACTTATGGTTGATAATATGGTGGTAAAGACACACCTGGCAATATGGCCGTAAACACACGCCTGCCCACACACGCTCTCTAGGCTGCAAAGTTCGCAATCGCAATCGAGCTATGTCGTTGCTGTGTCATCATCTATGTGCCATGCGCTACTTGATGTACCAGCCAGCTATGGCGGATACCGCCAGCCATGCATCGACCAGGCGCCAGGCGCGAACTGATGGTGGTGGTGGTGAGAAGGAGAGCTCTATGCCAGAACTTTGCAGCCTAGAGAGCGTGTGTGGGCAGGCGTGTGTTTACCGCCATATTGCCAGGTGTGTCTTTACCACCATATGAGCCAGAGCACGCTAAAATATGACCACAGACCAAAAATTCGATTTTCAGTTTTTTGTTTAACCCTTTGGAGTCCATGGTTCGATTTCGAACCATGGGCATTTTGTGTGCATGTGGGCGCAGTCAAACTTTCGGTTCTCGGCCAAATCTTGACCGAATTCAACAATCGAAGAGTCTAGATGGTAGAGCAAACTCTCAGCTATCGCCTTGAATAGGTCCGAAGTCTCTCCGGTGAAATTTGTATGAGCGGCGAGCGATCAAACATTTCGAATTTTCTGCGCTGCGTGCTGCGAGTCAACAGTGCGTGAAAAAAAGGGATTTTCCCAGGTTCATGACAGGCGGCACGTGCCAGGACCGGCGCAGCGCGAAGTCACGGCAAGGTAAGCTTCTACTCGAAAAACTTTGAACAGTTCCGAGCTAGATTCAGTGAAATGGCTACAGGAGACCGATTTAGTCTCAGAACTGGAACTGGACTCGCGTTTGGGGCGCGTTGTGGCAGACAATGAAAAGTGCTCTTGGCGAGTTTGGGCTCATTGTATTTCTCTCATCAGGAGCTTTCTAACGAGCCCAATATCTTCAAAATCGGTGAAGTAGAACCAAAGTTATGTTGGAAATGGTGTGCGCATTTTCGTGACTGCCACAAATTCTGTGGAAGCAAAAAGTTACGGACTCCAAAGGGTTAAAAATGATCTAACACACCTTTTGTTCACTGTCTGAAAGTTTTGGATTGATCGGACATGTCTAAGTGTTGCTACAATGGTATTATATGCAGCACTGTTGAAATGGTGAAATTCTATGTACAGCAATGGGATTGTCATTTTTGCACATAATTGATATGCCCCTTGGTTCATCCTTTCCGGATCAATTCCTCTGTCCAGGGTCTTATAGCATGAGCTGACAGGTACTCAGCCACATCCAAATTGTCTATAGGCAGCTGAGCTGGGTGTCCGAAATACCTCCTGTTTGGAGCACCACTGGAGAACCGCCAGCGAAAACACGGTCAACATCTGTAGCTGGCCGAAGAAGTTGGCACTCCATGTCCTCTCCATCACACTCCACCTGTACTTTCAGATATACAGTATACACTGCTGCACACAGTCTTCCTCAACATACTAGACGTCGCACTCATATTCCCCACACCAAAGCCCATCTGCACACGGTTTTCTCCGCTCGCCAGAGAGTACTGCTTTCGCTGCATACTGCTCATGCTAGCGATGTTCCGCATAAGGGTACTCAACTTCAAAAAATCGACTTGAGCAAGTTGAGGGAGCAGCAGAGTCCATTGATTGTTTTTGCACTTGCAACCAATACTGGCATTGTCCCGGATATGTGCAGCGATGTCCATTCTGGCCAAATCATCGGCCGACTCACCTCGGCTCCCAAGTCAGTGTCGATGCCAATCGCTCGCCAGGTTGTCATCAGAGTAGAATTCCTCGTCACTGCAGATCGTGGGACTACCAGCATCAATTCTTTTTACGCTCGATGAAAGTGTCGCCCTCAAATGACTCGTCGCTGTAGCCATCATCGTCTTCCTTCTGTTTCCGACCCGAATCCTCAAAATATTTTATCCTGCGCATGGAGTGCGATGATGTCGT